ACGAAATTTTTATTTTTTGATGACGTAATAAATTAACGAGACCATAAAAATGGTAAACCGCAAAAACCGCATTTAAAATTTTCCTTTTTTTTTTTTCGTTTGTTTGTTTGTTGTAAATCGTCGAATTTGTTTTAAAGTTTAAACGTTAATACGTGATCGATTCAAGTTATTATTAATTTTTATGCGCGGCCATTTTGATTTTTCATCGACATTTTTTTTTTCTTTCTTTTAATAACCCAATCATCATCATCATCATTATTAACAACAATAATTTTTTTCCGTTTTCTTTTTCTTCTTCTTTTTATTTTTCATCCCTTCCGCGATGATTTTTTTGTTTTTAAAAAGGGTTAATCATCATCCCCTTTCGTATACCTTTTCTTCATTATCAACCTCCCCGATTTTAAATTTAACGGTTTTTTTTTCTGAAATTGTGAATCAAAATGGTGTAGTTGAATTTTTTCGCGATAAAATCCATTTAATAAAACTTTTATAAAATCTAGAAATTTTTATTTTATTTTATTTTATTTGATCATGATTGACAGAGTCGAATCATCAATAAAAATTTTTAATATTATTATCATTATTATTATTATTATTAGTTTTCGTGGCGCCCAAGTTATTAGCGGCTTAACGGTGGTGAAAGAAGAAGGAGTGGTCATCATCATCATCATCATCATCATCATCGGTGGTGATGATTGTCTACTCATTCGACTAGTTTTTCTTTTCTTTCTTTTTTTTTTCGTTTCGAATTAAATTTATTCGCTATAAAAGTTCTCAAAGTCCATTTTTCGCGTTTAACCGTTTAAAACAACAACAACAACAACGAGAAAACGAATAAAAATTCATTCATGCGTTTTTATTATTATTATTTTTTTTTTTAATTATTAACAAGTGATTATTTAATTTGTCTTCTGCTATCAATTAAAAAAAAATAGGGTAATATATAAATATTGTCTTATTTAATTATTAAAAAAAAAAATTTTATACGTAATATTAAAACCGTGAAGAAAAACAAAACAGTAGTTATAATAATAATAATAATAATGATAATAATAATAATTTGTTTGAATCTCTTTTAAAACACAAAAAAAAAAAATTTTTATAAACTCACGTGAGTTTCATTCAAAAAAAAAAAAAAAAAAAAAAAAATTGTCCATCAAAGAAGCGGCGGCGGCGGCGTCGAGAACGGCAACGGCAACGTTAACGGCGGCGGCGGCAGACTACCCCAAAAAGTTAATTTTTAGCGCCAGGTATTAAATAAAAGCAATTTTAAAAGAGAAAAACTTTTTTTTTTTAATATTTTACGAGCGTTAAAACGCAGTTAAAAAAAAAATTTCGAATCTAACGATGGCCAATCTTATTACAACTCAAGAAAGTTTTTTTTTTTTTTTTTTTTTTAAATTTTAAACTCATGCGAATCTTTAAGAAAAAAAAAAAAAAATTTACGACATTTTTTCTTCTTTTTGTTTTTGTTTATTAACGTAAATAAATAAAAAAATCAATCGGTCGATGGACATGTTCCCGTAGTTATATACGTGCAGATGCAACAACAAAAAAACGTGGAAAAAGAATAAAAAATAAAAAATAGAAATTTACCCCTTGAAAAAAAAAAAAAAAAAAGAATAATAGGGAAAATCTGACAATAAATGATGATGATGATGATGATGAAGATGGGAATGGGGATGATGATTATGATGGGGATGATGGGAATGATGATGACGACAACGGCGACGACACCACCACCGGCAGACACGCCCATTTTTCTCATTGGTGGTATACTTTGGCCTTTACTAAATAAAATAATTTTTTTTTTTTTTTTTTCGTAACCCACGAAACCTTTTTTTCCCTTTTTATTTTTTTTTTGTTTCATATAAAAATTAAATTAATCTCCTACAAACCTACCGCCCTTTCGCCTCGCCTTTCCCCTCCCCTACCCCTCCTCTCTCCGCTGTCTTTTCCCTTCCTGAGAAAAAATAAAAATTTATACATCCACGCGTAAATAATTTTTTTACAACCCACGCGCGAATTTTGTTTTTTTTTTTTTTACGAATTTTCTAATTGACCGATTACATGCGTTACATGATTAACTATTCACAATTGTATTCTTCTGCCACGTCAATCAATCAACACTCCGATATTTCATACATTTTATATAGTCTAAATTTTTTAAAAACAAATTTAGATGATAACAATTTTTTAAATAATTTTCATCATTATTATCGCTCAATTCTCTCCCCATGAATTTATTATTTAAGCACGTAAAAATAGAAATTTAATTTAAAAAAAAAAAAAAAAAAACGTATCAATAGTCGTAATAAACAACCACACTTAAAATTCAATTTTATACGCCGCGTATGAAAATGACGTCATAACTAAATACGCAATGTAACGAGTTTAGTTATGAAAAAAAAATTAACCCCTTCACCCCTTTAAATTAAATCTAGAAAGTTATTTTTTTTTTCATCAAAAAAGTTTCATTAAAAACTAGAAAATTTTTAAAATATTAAAAAAAAATGAATTAATTAATTAATTTCATAATCGTCGGTTTTTCTTTTACGAAATTAAAAAAAAAAAAAAAAAAAAAAAACTCGAAAAGGGAATTTAAAAAAAAAAAAAAATTCAACCTGATTTTCTTTCTAAAAAAAAAAAAAAAAAAAAGTCGCTTTCGGGGAAATAGAAAACAAAAAAAAAAAAAAAAAACTCGTTTCAACAACGATTTCTTTTGACTTGTCATGGGAACCCGATATGAAAAAATGTGGGTCGATCCAATGGTGGTGGATGCCCCCCCCCCCACGATCTACCTGACACTTTCTAATTAATATTACCAAAAAAAAAAAAAAAAAGTGTTTGTTTTAAAGGAATGGACAATGTAATCATGATAATAATAATAAAAAACGGTAGTCGAAAATAGGAGTGGCGGTGGCGGTGGCGGTGGTAGTGGGGGGAAAAGAATCAAAGTAAGAATTAAACGCGGTAATGAATAAGATTGAATTTAAAGCCGGAAAATTTTTTTCTTTTTTTTTTGACGTGCCTGACAGGTTGAGTAAAAATAAATTTTTTCTTCATTAATGGCATTCGAAACGCGCTAAAATTATTTTTTTTATTCCTTTGACAATCTTGCGTGGAATTAGAAAAAGAAATTTTTAATAATTGTGCCCCGTCGTCGAAAAAAAACAAAAAAAAATTTTTTAACTGATAAACGAACGAATGAACGAACGGGCGTCGTGTCAAAGTTTTTCGAATTGTTTTCTAATGCCACGACGATTTCAAAAAAAAAAAAAAAAAATTAATTATAATAAAATTAAATTGATAAATGAAAAAAGACGACGGAAGAAACGAGTAGTCGTGTAACTAATTTTTTTTTATTTTTTTTTATTACCTAATAAATTATTTAATTTAAATATTTTGTTATGGAATTATTAGTTTTTTTATGTAATAGAATTTTCTAGAAAATTTTTTTTTTTTTTTTTTTTGCCTAAAACCCTGTTCGCGAGACCTTCTAATAATATTACCCGATTCCGGAATATCAATTTTTTTTTTTTTTTTTACGGCGGGGTTCATCCGGTAATGGACAAATACCGGTTTTGTACCGGGGCATAACCTCGTACCAATTAACACGACCTGCTCCTAGTCAGTCACATACGCGCACGCGCACTCACTCACTCGCAGACACGCACGAACGCATTCACGCATTCGAACCAATTAAATCCGTTGCGTAATTTAATTTAATTTTTTTTTTTTTTTAAACCGCCATATTGTGTCGTTGTGGGTTTTTTTTTTTTTTCCTTTGATATTTTCGACTGCAGAAGACAAAGTTTTATATATATAATAATGATAATAAATAAGTGGATTAAGTATGGATTTCTGAGAATGATGTTTTAGGGGTTGTTGTCGTTGTTGTTGTTTTTGTTGATTTACAACGGTGAGTGGTTCCCTTGGGCCTTGCTCACCCTGACTTTTTTTTTTTTTTTTCTATTCCTTTGGGGATAATTGGAACGTCCCGCCTTAAACGGGACTCGTTTCTTTCTTTCTTTCTTTTTCTTTGTTTTAACACACAAAAAAAACAGATTAATTCATTTTTTCCGTTTTTTTTATTTAAACTTTTTACTTAATGCCAAGGCTGAACTGAACTGAACTGAACTGCTACCACCATTTTCTATCATTTCTGAACATTTTTAAACCTAAAATTTTTGTTTTTTTTTAAAAAATGAAACTTAACACATTCGATAAAAAAAGGTAAACGTGAAGTGAAAATGACGTCATAAAAAATTACGATTTGGTTTTTTTTTTTTTTTTGAGGGGAAAATTTCAAACGATGTGACTTAATAATTAATAATGAACTTTATACCGGAAAATAGGTAAATAATAATAATAATACTACGCACGAGACAAACGAAATCGTTAACATTATCGATCGTATGATTAATAATAATTATTTACGCCATTAATAAAATTGTAAATGATGACGTATAAAATATGTAATTGTGGAGAAAAATTAAACCAATTTTCAAATATATTTTCAATTGAAAATTTAATTTTCCGTGACGACATTTTGTTTTTTTTTTTTTTTTCGTGAAAAAAGTCTTAACGATAATAATAATAATAATGATAAATTAAATAGAGAAAATAAAAAGAAAATTTATTAGAAATGATAGTAGTAGGAAAAGAGAAAAATGCGTTTTCTAGCCTTTGGTTAAAGTTTTTTTTTTGTTTTTTTTTTTCGGAAGAAACAAAAAAAGTCAAAAAGTATTTTTGGCAGGCGGTATGACACAATAGACGACACGATCTTCGACAAAAAAAAAAAAGGGGAAAAGAAAAAACAAATTATAATTTAGTAATTTTGTTGTCGATGGCGACTTGCTGGCACCGCCGTCGACGCAATCAACTCTTTCCTCCAGATTTTTTTTTTTTTTGTAAGATGAGTATTGTCGAAAAAAAATTATTTTTATTTTTATTTTTGTTTTCAGGAGCATCCAGGTTTGCGTGGTACACCTTTGGCGATGCTGGCTGCCCAGTGTAACAAATTATCAAATAAATCTCCACCGCCGTTGGCAGATGCCGCTGTCGGTAAGGGATTTCATCCTTGGAAAAAAAGTCCCACTTCAGCTCAAACAAGTAGCGGACCGACTCCCGTAAATAATTGTAGTACCGGAGTTACGACGTCCGGAACATTAAGTTTATCCAATCAGCGTCCGTTGGCATCAGCGGCCTCGAGCGCTTCTTCTGGAAATTCAACATATTCTACTAGGCCCGTGATGACATCGAGTACTTGCGGATCGGTACCGTCGACGACTTACGGGAACGATTTATATTTTCCCGGAACGACGTCGCAATCGCCCATTTCGGACAACCATCATCACATGCTAGGAAAAGTGGAAAACGCTGCCACGGCGCATCACGCTGCCTTAAACAGCGTTTATTCTCGGCACCCTTACGAAAGCTGGCCGTTTAACACTATGTCGGGCGCAACACATCACGCTGCCATCAAACCAAACGATAGCGCTGGAACAACGTGGTGGGACGTGCACTCGGCTGCCACGGCCGGAAGTTGGCTTGACATGAGCGGAGCTGCAGCTGGAATGCATGCTCAAATGGCAGCGGCAAATTATGCAGCCTCATCGGATTATTCCACGCTCACTCACAGTTTGGCCGCATCCAACACCGCCCACCATTTGTTGTCTTCGGGTCAACATCTCTTGCAAGATACGTATAAGTCAATGTTACCGGGAGCGCAAAGCGTGGGAGCATCTTTCGGACTGGGCCATCCGGGCGCAGCTTCACCGGTTTCGCCGGCAACCTCGCTGCCACCTCAGGTTCCTTCGCCTCGCTCCCAACGTCGATATACCGGCCGAGCGACCTGCGACTGTCCCAATTGCCAGGAGGCGGAACGTTTGGGACCCGCGGGAGTTCACCTGCGCAAGAAAAACATACACAGTTGTCACATTCCCGGATGCGGAAAAGTCTACGGTAAAACGTCTCATTTAAAAGCCCATTTGAGATGGCACACCGGAGAAAGGCCGTTCGTGTGCAATTGGCTTTTCTGCGGAAAACGATTCACGCGTTCGGACGAGCTTCAAAGGCATCTTCGAACGCACACGGGAGAAAAAAGATTCGCCTGTCCAATATGCAACAAGAGATTTATGCGGTCCGATCACTTAGCGAAACACGTTAAAACTCACAACGGAAACGGAAACAAGAAAGGTAGTTCAGACTCATGCAGCGATTCTGAAGAAAACAGCCAAACCGATTTGGCAGGCAACGTAGCAAGTCCCGTTTCAGTGAATAACACTCCACCGCCCCCAAATGCCGCCGCCAATCACGTCATCGACACCACCGTTGACATCAAACCGCCTCTGCCAAACTTGGTCTGAGCTAGGTGGGGTCCGGCGCTGTTCTATCAACAATATTCGAACTAGCGCGAGGACCCCTCGACCCCATATTAATCCCAGTATCATCGGTAGTAGTGCTCTGGCGGCGGAACCAACTCACTGCAAACTTATCCTTCTTTCTTTTTTTGCAGACGTCACGAGCTAGCACCGAACTGAAACGTCGATTGTTACGCATACATTATTATAAACTAACTATATAAAAAAATAATATATATATATATAAATTTTTATATATATATAAATAAGGAGTCAACTCCGAATGTGCCATGGGATCATATATATTTATATATATTAAATATTTACCTGTGATTAGATTATAAGTGAATATAAATAAATAAATAAATAAATAATAATTATTTCTAAAAATCGGAAAACACCACATTTATATAAGTATTCCGATACGAAACGACGACGTTGTGTATAAAAAAAAGTTATTAACAAAAAAAAATAATAAAAGGAAACCAAAAAGGAAAAGAAATTGGCAAAAGGATTGTTATATTATAAACGTAGTTTTCACAAAGGATAAAAGAAGTCAAAGGTGATAGTTATGGTCAAATGATTTAAAATGGTTTTCCTTGAAGCGGTTTTGCGGTTTCACCACCTGTTCTTTTTCGGCGAGTAATTACAAAAAAAAAAAAAAAAAAAAAAAAAAAAACTAATAAAACTTTGAAGACGATCCAGCAAAAATTTTACGTGTACAAACAAACAAACAAACAACCAATCAATCAATCAATAAACGTTTGTTATATTAAGATATCATTATAAATAAATAAATAAATAATTAATAAATATATATACATATAAGTAATTTTTTTTTTTTTTCAATTTAAAAAAAAAATATGGCAACGCCTATGTCAATTTTCTTTTTTCTTCTTTTGTTTACTTCTACACACTGTTGCCAGTTTTTAAGGGTAGTTAAATTTTTTTTTTAAATTTATAGTTTATTAATTATTTTGCGGTTGAAAAAAAAAAAAAAATTTTTTTTTTTTTTCAAATTTTGGTAACGCCCATTTTTCCTATCATTTTTTTTTTTTTTTTAAAAAATTAAATGTCATTGGGGGGGGGGGGGGGGGTTTCGGCGATGCACAATGATGTTTTTTTTTTTTTTTTTTTTTTTTAAAAAAAGATAATTAATATGGAAATAAAAAATAATTAAAGTCGAAATAAGTTTCCGAGAAACGATTTCATTATTATTACTATTATTATTATTACGTACGTTTTAAAAAAAATGCCGCAAAAGTACAAAAAGAAAACTAATAAGAAAACGATTTTTCATTGCGTGAATTTTTTTTTTTTATTTTTTCAGTCAAATTAAAAAAAAAAAATTTGTCTTACTGGCAATTCGTCTGCTTTTTTAAATATTATTATTATTATTATTATTAACAATCTAAAAATGATTTTTTTTTTTTTAATATAAATAAAAAAACTTTTTAACGACAATCAAAATTATTACAAAAATTAACTATTTAAAAAATTTAACCGGTAGATGTCAGTAACGTGTTTTAAACAAAAAAAAAATCAACGAAAATTCTTTCATCGGTTTTCACATATCAACAACGTAATAATAAATATAAATTTTTACAATTTCCTCCCCCCCTCCCTCTCTCTCTCTCTCTCTTTCTCCCAATTGATTTTATAATTAAAAAATAAATAAATAAAATATTAATTAATTATAATATAAAAACGCGAAGAATCTTAAAAAAAATATTTGTAAAAGAAATTAATAATTAAAAATTGTATAAGAAAGTAAATAGTGTACAAAGTTCTTGTTTATTATTATTATTATTATTATTATTATTAATAATTTTTTTTTTGTAACGCTTCATATAAAATACAATACAATGTACATTTGATAGTTGATAATAAATAAATAAATAAATGATTAATAATTTAAAATAATTAAAAATAAATTTTTTCTGTTTCACGATGATTCCGCCATCAATTATTTCTTTTATTGTTATCATTTACGACTCTCGTTTCCTTTTTTTTTTTTTTTATTAATAAAAAATGGGAAATTTATTTACGATAACGTCAGGAAAATCAGTACCCCCTCCCTTTCCCTCCCCCCAAATGGTGAAAATAATTTTTCTTTTTTTTTTTTTTTTTGGTTAACCTCTAGAATTATATGTGACTTAGTCACCCCCGAATTGAAAAAACGAAGGGTGGTAATTTGATAACGATGTCTCACTGAGATTTTCTACTAATAAAATTTGCTTGAGCACCCTTTTAACGAGTGATTGATTTCCTAAAAGGGGTGAGTATTTAAATAGATAAGGGTGATTGAAAATAAAATCTCCGAACGGAAAATAAAGTTTTTAAATTACTAGAAAATTTATCGAATTTAATTTTTAACTTCAGGAAAACGAGGAAAATAAATTCGATCGAATGTTTTATTTAAAAAGAAAAAAAAAAAAAAACGTTAAAAATTTGGCAAATTCGATTCGGTGATCGTGGTTTTAGATTTTCGATTTTAAAATTCCACGGAAAATTTTAAAACGACAAAAAAAAAACAAAAATTATTTTAAACGTGAAGTTATTTGTTACCTTTCGGGTAAATAATAATAATATTGTTTGTTAAAAAAACTTAAACGAACAAAAGAACACTTTTGGGGTGACAAAGTGGTTGACTAAACAATAAACGGCCACCAACAGGAAAAAAAACAGAAAAAAAAAAAAAAACCATAAAAACCGTGACATAAAAAATTAAATAAGGGAAAATTTCGAGATCATTACATTCAAAAGAAAAAAAAGAAAAAAAAGAAATCCGAGATGTTTTCCTTTAATAATTCTTTATTATTATTATTATTATTATTACTTGATTTTTCTTTCTTTCCTTTTTTTATTTTACATAATTTATAAAGTCAAATTTACATCTCTTTTTTTTTTATTTTCTTCTATCTCATTCTTTTTTCCCCCCATTCTTTATCTATCTCTTTTTATCATTAATGCACCCTTTTTTTATATAAATTTAACTTTTAAATATAAAAAATAAAAAAAATTCATTTGATGAGCTTTTTTCACATCAATATTAACTTAAAAAAAGAAGAAAAATTTTCCTTTTTTTATTTTTATTTCTCTCCCTTTTTATTTTTTATTTTTATAAAAATACATAACGACTCGAAATTTAATGAAAAAAGAAAAAGGAAAATTTCCATTTTCTTTTATTTTTTTTATTAAAAAGAGAAAAAATTATTTTGTAAATCAGAGACGGTTTATAAATTATTTTCAAATTTTTTAATGTGACGTCACTAATTTTACGGTTGTGAAAAATCCGTATAATAAAAAAAATATTTTATTAAATCTTTAAACTCCTCCTCCCCCCGCCTCACCACACTCCCTTACCGATTTAAACGTTATAAAAACTTAAAATTAAATTTGTATTTACTCGCACACACACAGAGAGAGAGATAGAGAGTGGAAGGGAGGAAAGGAAATAAAAAGAAAAACATCCCCATGAGCGTCATCCATCTATCCAAACTCTCCAAGGGGATAAAAATAAAAAGGAAATATTTGACCGCGAATTAGTCGACTAATATAATCTCTAATCAAGTCAAATTGAGTTTACTACTACCCCCTTGAGAATGTATAACCACCCCACCAAACCACATAAAAACTTTTTATTGGGAGGATGAACAACAACAACAACAACAACAAACAATTTTTAATATCAACTAGAAAAAAAAAATATAATAAATCAAATTTTTTTTTATCATTGGTGGGAACTCGAATGAAATAATAAAACAAGTTTTCTCATTTCAAGTTTTCAAATTATTACGTAATAATTAATTAATATTTTCTTAACAAAAAAAAAAAAAAAAAAGTTTTTTTTGTAGTACCATCAAGAATACACCACCACCACCACTACTACTACTACCACGACGACTACGACGACGACAAAAAAAAGAAAAAATTTATTTTTTATCATTACCCTTAAAAGAGACGTAAAAGCGGAAATAAATTTTCATTATAAATAAAAACAGAGAGAGAGAGAGAGAGAGAATGGAGTCGAAGAGAAGGATGAGAAGATGGAGATGGAGATGGAGCAGCAGCAGCCGAAAACAGCAGGAGGTCCTCAGCACTACAAAAATCCCTTGATTAAATGTTTGGATTTATAGATATAACAAAATCAATTTGTCTTATATCAGTTTAATCATTTCCCTTCTTTTGACTTTATACGTTTTTTTTTTTTTTTGATAAAAACCAAGAGACAAAGACCAAATATGGGGTCGCTAATGTTTGCATTTATAAATGATGATGATGATGATGATGGTGAGCACAAAGGATGAAGAACGATCACCGTACTTTAGTCATCATCATCATCATCAACTATTTCCGTTTTTCGTTATTTTAATTTATATTGAATTTTCCGTGTTCCCTATTTTCCATTAACCATTGAAAACTCAATAAAAACGTTTTAAAGCTTTACGACAGAAAAAAAAAAAAAAAAGAAGAATTTTTTTCTTTTTCCACGTTCGTCTCCCTCGCTCCTCCCCCACCCCTTTTTTTATTTACGAAATAAAATTCTTATTATCATTATCATTTACAACTCGTATACAACAAAACAGTGCTTCTACATATAAATATCTCTTTATCAATTTATTACGTATTGATTTGTTTAATTATTTATTTATTAATAATGTACGTTATTTATATATTATTACAGAAAAGTTAATATTTATTTTTTTTAAAAATTACATAAGTATTTTAAAAGGAAATCATTAGAAAAAAAACAAAAAGTTTCGTTACACAAAATGTGTCGGCCATCTATCGACCGTTGGGGTTAATTAAAACGAGAAAGTTAAAAATCAAAATGGTTTTCATCATTTCCTCTTTTGAATTTTTTTCCACCCCCTCTGTTTGCGTTTGTGTGTGTTTGTACGTTTGTATTTATTTTTTCTTTTCAATTTTATTTCTATCTCTCTTTAATTAAATAATTATAATAATAGTAATAATCTTTCACGTAATAAAATAAAAATTTGATT